GCATGCGTTGGCATGCACTGGCATGCGTTGGCATGCATTGGCATGCGTTGGCATGCATTGGCATGCATTCGCATGCATTGGCATGCGTTGGCATACAATGGCATACATTGGCATGTATTGGTATGCATTGGCATGTATTGGCATGCGTTGGCATGCGTTGGCATGCGTTGGCATGCGTGGGCATTCATTGGCATGCGTTGGCATGCATTGGCATGCTTTGGCATGCATTGACATGCGTTGGCATGCATTGGCATGCGTTGGCAGGCACTTGCATGCATTGGCATGCATTGGCATGCGTTGGCGTGCATTGGCACGCGTTGGCATGCATTGGCATGTATTGACATGCTTTGGCATGCCTTGGCATGCATTGGCATGTGTCGGCATGCGTTGGCGTTGGCATGTAGTGGCATTCGTTCGCATGCATTGGCATGCGTTGGCATGCTTTGGCATGCTTTGGCATGATTTGGCATGTAGTGGCATAGGTTGGCATGCATTGGCATGCGTTTGCATACATTGGCATGCATTGGCATGCGTTGGCATGCGTTTGCATTCGTTGGCGGCATTGGCATGCATTGGCATGCGTTGGCATGCGTTGGCATGCATTGGCATGCGTTGGCATGCGTTGGCATGCGTTGGCATGCGTTGGCGTGCTATGACGTTCGTCGGTATGCATCGGGATGCGTTGGCATGCGCTGGCATGCATTGACATGCGTTGGCATACGTTGGCATACGTTGGCATGCGATGGCATGCATTGGCATGCTCTGGTATGCGTTTGCATGCACTGGCACGCTTTGGCATGCTATGGCATGCATTGGCATGCGTTGACCTGCGTTGGCGTGCTATGACATGCGTTGGCAGGCACTGGGATGCATTGGCAGGCGCTGGCATGTATTGGCATGCGTTGGCATGCATGGGCATGCGTTGACATGCATTGGCGTGCGTTGGCATGCGTTGGCATTCGTTGGCGCGATTTGGCATGCCTTGACATGCTTTGGCATGTGCTGGCATGCACTGGCATGCGTTGGCATGCGTTGCATGTGTTGGCATGCATTGGCATGCGTTGGTACGCGTTTGCATGCACTGGCACGCTTTGGCATGCAATGGCATGCGTTGGCATGCGTTGACCTGCGTTGGCGTGCTATGACATGCGTTGGCAGGCATGGGGATGCATTGGCAGGCGCTGGCATGCGATGGCATGCATTGGCATGAGTTGACATGCATTGGCATGCGTTGGCATGCGTTGGCGTTCGTTGGCACGATTTGGCATGCATTGGCATGCTTTGGCATGTGCTGGCATTCGTTGGCATGTGTTGGCATGCATTGTCGTGCGTTGGCATGTATTGGCATGCGTTGGCATGCATTGGCATGCTTTGGCGTGCGTTGGTGCGCATTGGCATGCATTGGCCTGCATTTGCATGCATTGGCATGTGTTGGCATGCGTCGGCATGCGTTGGCATGCATTGGCAGCCCTCCCCGCGTGCTACCCCTAACCCGGGCAGCCAGTTCGTCCTTGTGGGGGCTACTCGCCAGGACGAGCCCTCGCTAGCAGCCCCTACTAACAGACTGCGAGTTGGGGTGCAACCCAAGCAGACCTGGCAGTTTGGTCAGTGATCCTCCTTCTCCTCCTCCTCCTCCTCCCCTCCTCCTCCTCCCTCTCCTCCCTCACCTCCTCCTGCTCCTCCACCTCCACATCCTCCTCCTCCTCCTCCTCCTCCTCCTCCTCCTCCGCCCAATCATCATCATCTTCATCATCATCATCATCATCATCATCATCATCATCATCATCACCATCACCATCACCATCACCATCATCATCATCATCATCATCATCATCATCATCATCATCATCATCATCAACAACAACAACATCATCGACATCATCAGCATCCCCCCTTCCTCCTCCTCCTCCTCCTCCTCCTCCTCCTCCTCCCAGTCCCTCGTCCCCGTTTTCCCTCCTCCTCCCCCTCTCTCCTCCTCTCTCTCCTCTCCTCCCTCCTCCTCTCCTCTCCTCTCCTCTCCTCTCCTCTCCTCTCCTCTCCTCTCCTCTCCTCTCCTCTCCTCTCCTCTCCTCTCCTCTCCTCTCCTCTCCTCCTCCTCTCCTCTCCTCTCCTCTCCTCTCCTCTCCTCTCCTCTCCTCTCCTCCTCCTCCTCTCCTTTCCGTCCTCTCCTCTCCTCTCCTCTCATCTCCTCTCCTCTCCTCCTCTCCTCTCCTCTCTCCTCGCCTCTCCTCTCCTCTCCTCTCCTCTCCTCTCCTCCTCCTCTCCTCTCCTCTCCTCTCCTCTCCTCTCCTCTCCTCTCCTCTCCTCTCCTCTCTCTCTCCTCTCCTCCTCCTCTCCTTTCCGGTCCTCTCCTCTCCTCTCCTCTCCTCTCCTCTCCTCTCCTCTCCTCTCCTCTCCTCTCCTCTTCCTCTCCTCTCCTCTCCTCTCCTCTCCTCTCCTCTCCTCTCCTCTTCTCTCCTCTCCTCTCCTCTCCTCCCCACTCCTTCTCCTTTCCTCTTCCTCCTCCCCCTCCTCCTCCTCCTCCTCCTTCTCCTCCTCCTCCTCCTTCTCCATTCCCCCTCTTCCACCTCTTCCTCCTCCTCCTCCTCCTCCCTCTTCTCCTCTCCTCTCCTCTCCTCCTCCTCCTCCTCCTTCTCCTCCCTCTTTCTTCCTCCTCCGCCTTCCTCCTCCACGCTCCACCGTGCAAACGCCCCTGGCGGTTTCCCTGTAGGTTGCTGAAGCCAGTGCCTTGCTGAAGACATCCTTACAATCTGCTCTGGCAGCAGGCAAGTCCAATGTGCTGGCCGAACGGGCAAACCGCCTGAGAAATCCCCACAACCTGGGCGCGAACGGGTGAGTGAGATGACCCCCCTGGCGCCCCCCGTTTGGGTGCTGAAGCTAGCGCCTTACTTGAGATATCCTCACAACCTGTTCTGAAAGCAAATCGACTTTGGGCAGCCAAACGCGCTTCCTGGCGCTTCCTACCAGCCAGGTGTCCGAGGGCTCCATGGCGCTTCCTCGAGCGTCCTAGAGCTTCTGGGAGCCCCTGGGAGCTCGCTGGAGCTTCCTGGGGCTCCCTGGAGCTCCCTGGGGGATCTCAGGGCTGCCTCGGGGCTCGCTGGGGCTCCCTGGAGCAGGCGTCTCCACATACAGGGCGCGAACAGGTCCGTGAACACACCCTGGCGGCTCCCCCTTGGGGGTGTTGAAACCATCGCCTCGTGAGAGACATCTTCAGAATCTGCTCTGCGAGCAGACGGGTGTTGGCACCCAAACATGCAAACCGCCTGAGACATCTCAATACTGGGCGCGAGCAGTGCCGTGAAAACACCCTGGCGGCTCCTCCTTGGGAATGCTGAAGCCAGCGTCGGGCCTGAGACATCCTCTGCTTTGAACGCGCCCAAGTCAAGGCGACCAAACAGGCAAACCGCCTGAGGCATTCTCGCACTCTGGGCGCGAACAGGGGAACGCGATACCCCTTGGCGGCTTCCTTTTAGGGTGCTGAAGCCAGCGCATCGCGTGAGGCATCCTCGCAAGCTGTGTTGAAAGCACCGAGTTCCAAGCACCCCATCAGGCAAACCGCCTGACGCTCCCCCGCAATCTGGGAGCTAGCGTGGGAGTGAGATACCTCCTGGCGGCTCCCCTTTGGGGCGCTGAAGCCAGCGCCTTGCCTGAGGCATCCTGGCACTCTGCGAGTGAGTGTGAGTACGTCGCAAATCAGACTGAGTCTGAGTATGACTGAATCTGGGTGAGGATGAGTTTGAGTCTGAGTGATTCTGATCGTGAGTGGGTCTGAGTATGAGTGAGTCTGAGTATGAGTGAGTCTGAGTGTGAGTGAGTCTGAATGTGAGTGAGTCTGAGTGTGAGTAAGTCTGAGTGTGAGGGAATCTGAGCGTGAGTGCGTTTGAGTATGAGTCAGTCTGAGTGTGGGTGAGTCTGCATGTGAGTGAGTCTGAGTGTGAGGGATTCTGAGTGTGAGTAAGTCTGAGCGCGAGTGAGTCTGTGTGTGAGTGAGTCTGAGAATGACTGTGTCTGAGTATGATTGAGTCTGAGTATGAGTGAGTCTGACTGCGAGTGAATCTGAGTTGAGAGAGTCTGAGTGTGAGTGAGTCTGAGTGTGGAGGAAAAGGAGGAAGGAGGAGTGTGAGGTGGACAGCTGGGGGAGAAGCCAACGGACAGGGCAGCTAGGGGCGGGACACCATGGGCGGAAGCGTATCCGCAACCATGAAGACCAAGGGACAGTGCAATTGAGAACAGAACCCTATCGGCGAGACCCTGTGGGCAGTTGCGAAAGAGCGAAGGTTCGATGCTAGTTTTAATTCTGATGTAAATAGGGGCACCTTGGTGCAGTGACTGCTTCGGGAAACGGATCCTTCACTCTTGATTGGCCGACACGGGCCGAACGAGATCGCTTCACAGGGGGTCTCTTGGTGGCTTCTGGGGCCCCTGCTGAGGCATCGGGCAGTCTTTGGAGCGTGCGGTGCTGCCAGAGCAAGTGTTCGAGCCATCTCCGGGGCTTCACGTTTCAGGAGGGGAAAAAAACACACAGACACAATTAATCGTCGATCCCCAGGAAAATATGGGAAAATATGGGAAGTGGTGGGGAAGACAAAAACCCAGACAATATGGGAAAAAGTGGGGAATCCTTTTATTTGTGTATATATTTATTCGTGTGTCCCAGAGCCCCTTCAACGTTGTCCTCTGGGTGTGGCCGGGGGCCCCCGCAGGCAGGCTGGCCGTGTGCGACGTGCAGCCGCCTCGGGCAGAGCCTCTCTGGCTGCACTGGGGCGAGCAGGCGCCCCGGGGATGCTGCTCTGGAGGGAGGTGCTCTGGGACGCCTCCTCCTCCTCCTCCTCCGCCTCCTCCTCCTCCTCCTCCGCCTCCTCCTCCTCCTCCTCCTCCGCAGGAGCAAGCTGTGCTCCCGATGCGAAGATTCGCCAGGATGTGGTGCCCACAGGGGGGCCTGGCGGATAAAGCAGGAGTTCGCCGCGCACGCGGAGAAGTTGTCCAAGACCAGCGATCCGATGGCCGCGTGTGCCTACCAGGCGTTCGAGATGGTCAAGGACCGCATGCAGCGCATCGTCAACACGAAGTTCGGAAGTGGCCGCCTGGTGCTTATCGGAGGCATCCAGCTGAACATGCCCTACCCTCAGTTCGACGACCACTTCCTCCCGCTGATGTTCGAAGTCCGCCAGGAGGGTCAACCAACCATGGACCTGATGAACACCTTCTCGAACGTGTCCGTCCAGCAGGACTTGAAGCGGTCGCCGTGGGCATCGGTCGGGGCACAGCGCGAGGTGTTCGCGTGGATGACCTGGAGCCCGCCCGCAACGTCGCCCGTGTACCAGTCGCTGCACAAGTTCTTCCCCGGTGCCCTTCCCGGTGAGGCGGTCCACCGCCGGTCCTCGGCGGGGCGCAGGAAAGGGCCGGGCGACGGGGGCGGCCTCCCGAGATGAAGCCCTGCCTCCGGTAGGCCCTGCTGCCTCCCCAAGAGAGCCTCCCTCGAAGACTCCAGGAATGAACAGGCCCCTTCGACGGAGCCCCCTGTCGGTGGCGAGCCCGGGGGGGAAGGGGGACGGGGCTCTCAGAAGGCTCCGAAGCTCTCGGGGCCATCGGAGAAGTTTTCCCAGCCTTCCCCGAAGGCACGGAAAACAACTCGCCAGACGGCCGGAGGGCTTCTGAGAAGCCCGCCGCCCGCTGAGAAGGCCCCCTCCTTCTGACTCCCCCTCCTCGCCCGTCGCCGATGTGAGAGACCGCCGCCGTGCGTGACAGTCAGGAGCGAAACAAGGACGTACATGTACATGAATCCACGCTGGTTTCGAGAGCACGCATTGCACAAATGTTCGCATAACGCGGCGGGTCTCGCGAATCGCGGGGCCGTGTTCATGTACATAGCTGGGCGCGTACGTCCTTTTTGGGCTCCCTAGACAGGAAGTGCGTGGGGACAGTTGCCACCAGCAGGGAGCGGTACTAATCCGTCTGAAGCTTGTGGTGGCGCGCGGGGCAGGAGGCGGGGGGGTCGCAGCCGGGGGCTGCAGACCACCGCCATGCGAACCGGGGGCGTTCGTTCAGGAATGTGTCCAGGAGGCCTCAGGCACTGCAGGACTCCTCATCTGACGAGGGCGGCGGTTATATCCACGGCCCAGCCTCAATTGGTGCTCCACTGGCTTTCAGACCCTGGATTCCTTATCCGATGGTTCCTCGTCTAATACCCTCACCGTGTGAGGGACAAGTTTCGAGCCGGGCATGTCCGTCTACAGGAGGAATATTCGAAAATAGTGCAAACATAGTCTGGGGACGATTTTTAATTTATTTGTTTTGGCTATTTTGTGGCATTTCCGGAGTATTATTAATTGCCACCTGTAGGGGGACACGCCCGACTTGAGACAAGTTGCCACCAGCAGAGGGCGATGTGAGTTCATCCGCAAGTGGTCTGGGCGCCCTTCGAAGTGGCAGCAGCCTGGGACGGCGCAGCTCACGCGACAGCCGTCGGTGGCTCCTGGACCCGGGCAGAGGGCAGGGAGACCAGAAGGAAGAGGAGGGACCTCAGCAACAGGGCCGGACCTAAACGCCGTTCTGCTGGATTTCGGCTGTGTTTTCCTTTTCGTTCTGGCAGGGCGGTACAGGAAAGCAGGTATGGAGCAAAACGAAGAGCAAAACGAGAACACAGCACGAAGAACAACGTTTGGGTGCAGCCCTGCTCAGCAAAGCTCCACGAACGAAGAAAAACCCTCGGCGTGCCACTTTTTGGCGCGCCGCCGAGAGGTCCCTGCAGATCCTGAAGAAGTACGGCTTCGAGGTCGAGAACACCCTGCTGGGCACCTCCTTCTGCCCGGACGAGATCAACAACCAGTCCGACTGCCTCGCCGTGCTCATGCAGGACTACTGGGGCGACGTGTTCCCCATGGGCGGCATCAGCGGCACGCCGTTCACCGGCAAGACCGGCTTCGCGGCCTTCTCCAGCCACGTCGCCGACGAGGGCAACATCCTGGTCGCCTTCGGGCCCCACGTCGGCATCTCGGAGGACGGCGAGGTGGGCAAGATCCCGCGCAACGGTCAGGCCAAAATCTCCTCGGCCTGCGGAGCTAGGGTGAGCAACACGCTGCACAGGCAACAGCCGCGGGCGGCTCGCGCGCATTGCACGCGTCGTCGCGGGACCCCCCCGTGGGGCGCTGGGGGGTCCGGCGCCGATCCAAGACATCCGCGCGGACCTCCGAAAAGAGCTCGCGCTCGTGCGGCCTGCCGCTCCGCCAGGAGCTGTGATCGGCGCCTACAGCGCGTGCCGCAGCGGCTGGGACGCGAGCAGCATCGACGAGTCCAGCTACGACATGCAGATGGACTTCTGCAAGCGCCAGATCGCGCCGCACGCCGACGCCATTTCCAAGACGGACGCCGGGGCGGCGAGCGAGAGGGGGGGGGGGCGGGAGCGAGAGGGGCGGCGGAGCGGAGGCGGGCAGGGGACTCTTCGGACGGGGGCGGGCCCTCGAGCCGAAGACTCGGCATCGCTCGGACGTGTGCGTTCTCTCCCGGCCGGGACCATCGGGGAGCACCTGGAGGGCACCTTGCGAGCGACACGCGCGCGAGACGCCGAAGCATGCACGGGGAATGGACGCCCGAGCGATGGCGAGAGGAGCAAGAGTTTGTATATACAGTGCCGGTTTAGTATTAAAACGAAGATGAGTTCATGCATCAATTCATTTATAAACGAGTCATGCATAAAAATCATATTATAGAAACATCCCGTGTACTAAAAACTGCCCTGTACGGTGGCTCTTTGGAGGTCTGGCCGTATTCGCGGGTCGGCCTTGGGGCCCCCCCTTGGCGGCGCCTCGTGCGCCGCCTGTGGGGCGCTGCGCGCGCCGCGGAGTGGGGCTTGGCGCCGCGGGCCTCCCGAAGCGGAGGCGTGTTTTTTCAGAGCCCTCCTGCGTGTTGGGCTCTCGTGCTGTCTCTCTGATTCAAGCTGTGCGTCGCCCGCCTAGCTTTTAGCGGAAGAGGTTCGCTCTCGCCCCGCCGACCAAAAACAAAAAGTGTTGGGCCCTCGTTTCGCCTCACGGTTGCCCCGAATAGCCACACGCTGGAGCGGACTGCCTCTGCCTCGCCGCCGACGACGAGGAGAAGTGTCGGTCTCTCGTTTTGAGTAGAGCATTCTGGTATCCACACCTTCCCCCCCCCCCTCCTCGTGCCTGCCCCTGCCTCCCCCTGCGCTGCTCCCTCGGAGGCTGCTCCGAACTGCGCAACTGTCGCCACTTCCGTGGGCTCCTGGGAGGTCCAGCGGAGTGGGGGGCCACGCAAATCCAGCTGTGACCTCTCGCAGCCAGGACCTCGCAGCTCCATGGGTGGCTGCGAAGTGCGAACATGTCGGCACTTTCGTGGGCTCCTGGGGGTCCAGCGGAATGGGGGCCACGCAGATCCAGCTGGCACCTCTGAGTGGCTGCTAACTGAGCACTTGTCGCCGTTGTCGTGGGCTCCTGGGACAGCAGGGCGATGGGCCATGCAAATCCAGCTGGGACCTCGCAGCTCCCTGGGTGGCTGCGAAGTGCGCACGTGTCGCCACTTTCGAGGGATCCTGGGAGGTCCAGCGGAGGTGGGGGCCACGTAGATCCAGCCGGGACCTCGCGGCTTCTTGTGTGGTTGCCAACTGCGCAATTGTCGGCACCATCCTGGCCTCTTGTATCACAGAACGCAGGGCGCTTGGCCATCACGTAGCGCATTTAGGCGCTTGTCACCTGCAGCGGCAGCGCGGGCGAGCCGAGCAGATGTAGCGCATGGCGCTGTTATTCTCGCCAGCGTTTCTCCCGCTTCCCTCGCAATCCTCCGTGCCCTCCTCCCCCTTTCCCCCCTCCTGCTGCTGCTGCTGCTCCTCCTCCTCCTTCACTTTCGTCCTCCGTTTTATGTTGCGCAGGTGTGCGACGTGTGTGGCCCGATATTGTATCGCCTTCCTGAATGTTGTGTGTCTCGCAATGTGTTCTTTTGCATGAAACGCTCACGTCAATAGTCGCCTCACGTGCAGAACGGGTTGGGTACGCCTCGGGTAAGTTGATTCCCTCAAAGTTCCAGTTGGGTTCTTGCTATCTTTGCGCACCCTCGCGCATGAACCTCACGTCTCTCTCCTTTCACACTCATCATTCGCATCAGGAACGCCATCACCATCACCCTAATGACATTTGTCGTCATCATCATCATGCACATTCTTCTTATCATCGTCATGGCCATCATCATCATCCCCCGCATGACCATACGGCTCTTCTTCGTTGCCATCACCATAACTCATTACGGCCGTTCACCACTCACCACTCATACACATCAGCACCAGCATCATCATCATCATCAGCATCGTTGACATCACCACCACCATCATCATCTACATCAGCGACAACAGTACCCCCACGCACAGTGTATTCAATCATGCACCCACGCAGTCACACCCGCATGCGCTCGTATTGAGGAGGTCGCGAGCGGAAGCCTCGTCTGTGAGTCAGTTGGGCAGAAGTCTACGGCGGGAGCCCCCTCCTAATGGGTTCCGCGTTTTATGTTAGTAGTCTGCGGCCATCGGCGAAATAGTAAAAACGCATAGTTCTGTAATCATCGAGTCGTCATCACTCCGTTTCCAGTATTGATTTCGAGCTTCCAGAGCCACTTGCAAGCCATTGCCGTTTTTTTCGAGGTCCCAGAACTCCAGTCACGCCCAGGCCTCACTGGAGCTAGTTGTAAGCCACTTAGATGCCCATGCTTCCAGAGTTCTAGTCCTGCGATTGATGTTGCACTCGCACCCTGGCACCTTCGCATCCTTGCAACTTGGCGTCCCGGCGTCACTGGCATCGCTGGTATCCGTGGCATCCTGGAATCCTTGGCAGCCGAACGTCCAGACACAGGCCCAGCAGGTCTGACAGAGTCTCACAGGTCATGAGAATCGCGCCCTCACGCAGTTACTCACACACTCGCATACCCACACATGTACACACGCACACCCACTCATCTTGAGAAAGTCTCGAACGGGGGAGCCTCTCCTGAGAGCCAGTTGCGAGAACATCTCGAGCGGAAGCCTCCTCCCTATGGGGCTTGCACTTCGGCTTAGTAATCCGAGGCGGCCGTTTGACTATAATGGCCTTTTGCCCATCCCGCCACCATGTCTGGGTTGTGCGTCTGATGCCTCTTGGACTGTCGTCGGGACCTCGTCGAGGCCTCCCGGGGGCCTGGAGGCAGTTTTGAGGCGAGCGGGGGGAATCCTTTATAAGAACTGTACATGGAGGAGGAGGAGGAGGAGGAGGAGGAGGAGGAGGAG